AAAAATCTTCTATCTCCTCTTCCTTGGCTCTGGTTGTTGGTGCATATATTTGAATGATAGTGGTATTCACTGGACTTCCTTGTATGCGTATAGATATTGTCAGTGACAGGATAATATCTAAAAAATTTTTAACATATTACAATAATAGTGTTTTGATTTGAGTCGTAAAGTAGCACCTGTTTGTTACTTTGATCTACTATATATTTTACCTCAAATTTTAAATAATAGGCTTTCTGGGAGTTATCTCTTTACTACAAATTGAAGGTTAATCAATGCTCCATCCATAATAGCTCTAGGGACTGCCTATGTAGACGTTCTATGTAGATAAGGGACTTACCTGTCTTGTTCCTTACTCTATCCCCAGCAGTTAGAATAATTCTAATATACAGTCTCATAAAAAAACCCTAACAAACCAAAAACCCCCTAACTTTGCTGTCAAGTCAGTAGGTGCTTGTAGATTAAAACTACCAGATATGGGTCACCTTTGGGTTAGCAGCTGGACTCCCAATGAACCATGCTACCAGAGCTCCTTGACACACAGTTGCTGTTGTTATTGTTAGGTGCCCTCTAGTCAAACTCAACTCAAAGGGACTGTAGGAACAATGCATCATAACCCAGGGGTCTTCTCTTTCAGGCAGCGTGCACAGGGCTGGAAGCCAACCCTTTCCGGAGCTTCCCTGTATCTCAACATCGCCCTGTCCTTTGATAGCCTCATTACCTGACATACTTGAGCTCATTTTTAGTCACTGTATCAATCCATCTCATCAAGGGTCTTCCTCTTTTTTGCTGACCTTCCACCTTTCCAAGCATGATGTCTTTTTCCAAGGACCCGGCGCTCCTAGTAACATGCTCAAAGTATGGAAGAAGTTTCATTATCCTCACCCCTAAGGAATACCTGGTCATACTTTCTCCAAGACATATTTGTTTGTTCTTTTGGCAGTCTATGGGATATTTAATACTCTTCTCCAATACCACAACTCAAAGGCATTGATTGATTCTTTTCTGTCATCTTTAGTCACTATCCAACATACGGATATATACAGATAACTGAAAAGACCATGGCTTGAATCAGGGGTACTTTAGTCTTTAAAGTGACAGACCAGAATATCTGCTAAATTTTAAATCAGGTTTAGAAGATCATCAGAAATATCAAATAGCACTTTATTTTGTTTATCAAATGTAAATACACAAAAAAATTAGTTATTTTCTTACCTATTTCACCATGCTTTGTAATGGGACCTGCATGGATTTTCAATATATCTAATCTTGCTTGTTCATTTGGCAAATCAATATCTGAAAAGAAAATGTTTTTTAGTGAGCTTTGTTTGACTTTAGTAAAAGCCACACACAAAAAGTGAAATGGACAACAAAGACAGAACCTTAACTTACGTATTTTTCTATCTAATCTTCCTGGGCGAAGCAAAGCAGGATCCAGCGTATCAGGTCTGTTTGTAGCCATGATCATTTTAACTCTATGCAGAGTATCAAATCCATCCATTTGATTGAGTAACTAAGGGCATATATTTAGAAATAAAATAATAACTGTTATGAAGTATTCCAAGCATTAATTAAGACCTATACAACGCATAGCTTTCATGTGACTAATACAATGAAATGCCTGCCTACAGAAATGTGATCTTCAAGAACTAAAAAAAAAGAAATGTTATCTTCAAGACCAACCATTTGATATTTTTCTCTTACATAAACGGATGTAATTTTCATCCTCAAAGTTTCAAGACATACTCAACCATGCAACTTTTTACACCTGCCAGATACTCTAAATCTATCTAAAATCCTCTATTTATTCAAGAACTATGAACTAAATCTTACATTTCTAATGTTCAAAACAAAGATTTTTCTCCCCACTTGATAAAACATTATTATCATCTATTCAAATTAACCTATTCTACATAGAAATAGTGAAAGAAGTAAGAGTTCCTTCCATTTAACCAAGTTTAACAAATCCTTTAAAATAAAGCTAGTCTAATAATGTATGTAATTTTCAAACAACCTCAAAGGAAAATTTCCTCAAGAGACAAAAAACTGTATAACCAATACTTCTTAGTTTTTATATACAGAAGCAGGAAAATGTGTTTGGGATTTTGCAATCTCTTACATAGCATCTGGACTGAAAAAACCAAAACCAAAGTGGATAAAGGCTTTATGCACTGTGAGGTACTGGTGATTCCATGTCAGAATTCTTATCTTCTATGCAAGAAGTCTGGGTTAAATTACCAGTCAACATACTACGTGCACCTGTTAGTGGAGATGTATTTGTTGTTACAATGGACAGGTTTCAGTGGAGCTTTCAGACTAAGACCAAAGCAGAAAGTCCTAGAAATCTACTTCCAAAATGTAGCAAATGAAAATCTTCTGGATTTCACAAGTCTAGTTTGCAGCAAGTCAGAGGGCTGTTTCAGGACTGGACAGTGTTCTATTCTGTTATGCATGGCGTTATGAGTAGGGCCAGCTGGACAGCAGTTAACACATTCTACCAGCCTGGAAGCAGGAGCGGCATCCACTTCCGAAATGGCTTGCCCCCAGAAACTCTGTACGAACAGTGCTCAGGCCGTTCTTTCATAGGGTCACTATGAGTCGTCTACGACTCGACAGCACCCAACAACACCACCACCAGCCACCTTACCTGTTCAATTATCAAAGCTACTAGGTACTTCAGTTCTCTCTCAATTTCAGCAATAAACAAAGTAAAGTGACTTTCAAAGTAGCCTCATTACAAAAGTATAACTTAATTATTACCAATGGTTTTAATGTTTTTTTCCTTTTCCTTTTTTTAAATTTATTATTAATTTTAATAAAAATTTACAGAGACTTTGGATTTCCATTCATTCATTGTTCGACTTTTCTCCCTGCCTAACCCAACCCACCCAGTACATTCTTCTCTTTGAAAAGTAAAGGAAAACTTCTTTCATTGTTTTACAAAAATGTCTTACTAGCTTCAAGACACACAATATAAAAGTTCAATGTATAAGTTAAATATCTCATTGGCTAATATGCTTTAAAAAAACCGTTACAAATGTTAAGTGTGTAGTTTGTATTCATCCTTATTATTTTTCTAGTAGTCATTTCTTACTAAGGATTGTGGTCAGACATATGTTTGTTCATTTTCAAGGGTCATCTTTATTTCAAGTACATTTTGTCCTTCAGATATAGAATGTTCAGTTTTTCAATTAATAAATATAATTATTTTAAATCAAGCCCTTTGACAAAACATTACCTCCATTAAGGTTCTCTGAATCTCTCTATCAGCTGAAGTACCCTCAGAAAAACGACGACCACCTAAAATAAGAGATTTTTATGCATTACTCTTTGCTCTGTTATCATTTCTGAAAACAGACTGTGACAGTGTCTGGAGTTGAAAACATAAACGTGAAACAGTAAGAATTATACTGACAAAGTTATATCTGATTTTATACTCTCCCTCTCTTTATTTTGTCAATGGCAAACACCATGTGTTGAAATTATTTCCTAAGAATCTTTAAAAACATAGCATCTCTTCCATTCTACCATATATTTATTCTATACAAGTTGTAATCACAAGTGATAATAAGTAATAAGAGTTCCTTCAAAATGAAATCTCTAATTCTTTTTCAGGATTAGTTAAAATAAATTTTAAAAGATGTCATTCTTACCAATAGCATCTATTTCATCCATAAAAATGATGCATGGCTGATGGTCCCTGGCATAATTAAACATTTCTCTGATCAAACGAGCACTTTCACCAATATACTTGTCTACAATAGAACTAGATACAACCTAATTAAGAGAAAAACATTACAGTAAACATAAGGCAATTTAAATAGAATTTATTTTCAAAAATGCAAAAAGACTCTTCTCTTTACCTTTAAAAAATTGCAGTCCAGCTGGCTAGCAACAGCTCTGGCCAAGAGTGTTTTTCCTGTACCTGGAAATAAAGACAAAACAGTCCTAATTAGATGGCAAGTAAAAGAAATTTTCAAAAGACTTAAAAATTATTAATCCTTTCAAAGTTAATATCTAATTAAAATTTTCATTTAAGTTCAAAGAACTTTTAGTCAATATTAAAATTAACACTTTTATTAAAAATACTCATTATTTTTAAAATTTTTTATCTGTGAAAAAAGTCAACAGTGACTTGAAAGGTTAAAGAACAAACTGGTCTTCCATTTAACAATGCACACCCACTATTTTTCATGACCCTGATTACAATACCTGTATTGTAACAAAACTCTTCCCACGCCTTCCCTGTGTCTCCTACTTCCATTTATGTGTTTCCTATTCTTCCTGCCTTCTGAGCTTTATCACTGGAAAAATGCTGTACTTTTGATCATGAATTGTTTATTGTTCTAAAGAATGTGTTCCTCCTTGGTGTTACTGATCACTTTATACTAAAAAAAAAACCCAAAACAAACCTCAAACTCAGTGCCATCAAGCCAGAACCAACTCACAGCTGACTCTACAGAGGGTCCTTAGGAAGTTGTAAAAACATTAAAGGAGAATGCCCATCTTCAACCCTTGGAGCCACTAGTGGTTCAAATTGCCAGAGGTGCCATCTTTGGATTACTAGTAAATCCCGCTATGGACCAAGCCAGCAGAACTCCAGGATCACCTTATAGACCATTATTGAGCGGAAGTTGAATTAGGAGAGTGATTTCAGTTCTAGACTTGAGAAGTGACATAGCACCATCATCTTGGAGGTTCCATAAATCTCTAGCAGACCTGTAGATCTGATCTTTTAGGATTCCCAATGTGACTGTTTCCAGAGGTCAGCAATGGTTGTTGTTATGTACCACAGAGTTGGTACCAACCCATAGAAAACCCTCCGGTGGATTTTCAGAGTCAGTTAATCCCACAGGAGGAGACTGTCCATCCTTCTCCCTTCTCTCACGGAGCAGTTGGAAGCCTCTAAATGCATGCCTTATGGATTGCAGGAAAGCTTCTTGCCACAAGGCCACCAGAGCTCCCTAGCCAGGCACTATATAGTCTTTCTGGTCTCAGGGTCACACAGATTGTCATTTATTGGTCCATTCTTTCTCCTAACACTATTCTGCTTCACTCTTTTTGTTCCAAACAAGGACAGTACAATGGCACATTAAATGGTCCTCACAAAATTTTACAATTCTAGTCCTTACCAAAGTAGAATGTAGAATGTTCCATTACTTGATGTTATCTTCTCCTAGTTGTGCATTTCAGCCTGTATTTGCCAGTCTCTTTATACCCTAGGCTAGGCCTTCTAAGTTTGATCTCCTGTTGTCTCTTATGATCTTTATTATAGTTTTTCAGCTTTTACTCCTAGGTCTCTGATTTACCTGGGGTTAATTTTTGTGTATGGTGTGAGATGTAGATCTTGCTTTAGTTTGGTAAACAGAGTAAAGAGATAAAGGAATTAGGAAAGATCCAGAGGGGACCTGAAAAGGTGGGGTAATGGTGGGTATAGATCAGTGGTAATTAATTTTATAAAACACAATGTAAAAGAATGAAAATGTGAAAGAGTGTGAATGGAGGAGTGCATGAAACAATGTATATAAATGAAACACAAGGTATACAACTTTTGCAACCTAACCAATATAAAACAAAACTTAAAAAAAAATATGTAACTGTTTCATCTAAACTGTACTGCTTAGTTACTGATAGTAAATATCTATTTTTGGAGGAAAAACAATTTAATGCAGGTCAATATGTATTAGTGTACATCTCTCAATCTTTTTTTCAAATTCCGTATCTCAAACAACATGACCCAGTCACAAGCCAAAAGTGTTATCATCTGAATTATATTTAAATACACCTATACTATACATACATATATATTAAAAAAAGGTAAGCTGTAGAACACTGTCTTTGTAGTTTATATTAAGTCAAGTGGACATGATGTCTCCCAAGACTATGGCCCTGAGCTCCTAGGCCCAGCAACTCCTTTCCTCAAGGTTATTTAGAGAAGTTTCCACCATTTTGTCCTGTTTACCATGCATGTGGATCTATTTACAACATATACAGAAAATGTATAGGGCAATATCACCTGCCAAACTTATATGGTCTGCCTATTATCTCATTCACTTGCGATTTATTTAATCACACTGAATACAGAACTTTAAAAAAAAAAAAAAACAAACCTTCCTTACAACATGGGACTATGACTGTTCAAAAGTCACTGATCTATTTTTCACATTGAATGCATGCTTTTTTTTTTTTTTTTTTAATGTGCCCTAGGCATGTAACAGCTTTGGCCACAACCCAGGCATCAAGCTAGGATGAACAAAGGATTCACCCTGCTCTCCCCCTGATTGATATAAGAGCATCACCATCAATCAGGTGTCTATTTGCCCAAAACCAGAGGTTCCAAATAAATGATTGTGTAACAGCAAACATTAGTTGTGTAAATCTTCCAAATGTTAATGTATCTCATTATAAAATAGTATTAGCAAGCTATTAAACTCATAACGCCAGATGGGTTTTTAAAATTTCTAATTTTTATCACTGGAGAAAGACAGTGTCAGTTTTTTCCTTTACATTATTAGATCTTTTTTTTTTTTAATTTATAAAGAAAGTATGCTCAAACCCAAGTCTGAATTATCAGCTTGTAAATTATCCTTTCAAGTAAACAAGTTCATGAAAAGTAGGTAATTCATCTGACAATTCAAATAACTGTAAAAATGCTTTTTCTAGAAACAATTACCTTGCTTCATTATGCAGCTGAAGTACTTATATCTATATATCTATCTATCTTCTATTCCACCAAATGGATTAGAAGACATTAAAGATTAAGGTTTTTTAAAATTAACAATTTCTCCTGCTTCATCAAGGACATTTTAAACTGAGACTAGCATTTTTTTCCTACACATCATGTGTGTGGCAGACAAGAATAAAAAGACTAACATTAGCATTTGGTGTCACTGATGAACCTAGTCATGGTAAAATGCCAATGGCTTTTATTCACATTGCTACTCTATAGGAGTTAAAATCCAAACGAAACATACTGCAGTAGATTCCAGTTCACAGTGATCATACACTACAGAGGAACAGCCTTACAGAGCTCCCAAGGCTGTAAATCCTTATGGGAGCTGATTATCCTGTCTTCCTCAGAGTCAGTTGCTGGTAGATTCTGAATTACTAGTCATTTAATGGGTAATCAGGTGCTTAACCACTGACCACCAGGGCTCACTCGTCAACACAATGAAAACTGCAAAAAACAATATTATGAAAGTCATTTTGACCTTAATCTCCCTGAAAAGGTGTGCTCAGAGGTTGGTGAAGTACTGCTAAGGACAGCTGCACTATAATTGTACAACATGCTGAGATATATACCTACTCTTCACTTAACACTGTTAGGGTCCAAGGTCCAATTATGTGAAAATCAGTGTTGGATAAAAATAGAGGATAGTCATATAACACAATGGAAGATGACTATTACCATTATACAATTGCCAAACCAGTGAGAATCAAGACTTTAGGCAAGTTAACACATAAGTATCAATCCTTGCCCTCACCTCACACCTCAGTGTTCAGTAAGGAATTACTGCCAGATATACATCATTAATTTCAATACAGTCAGCAAACAGGTCTTTTCCTACTATAATTGTGAAATCTCTCTCATTGTCATCAAGTCAGAACTGACTCATAGTTGACCCTCCATGGGGTTTTCAGAAGCTATAAATTACAGTGGAGGATTTACATCTTTTTCCCATGGAGCAGAAGGTGGATTAGAATCTTACACCTTTGAGTTAGCAGTACAATACCCTACCCACCAGGCCACCAGAACAGGCTGTAAATAAACAAGACAGTAGAACAATGAGGAGTAAGTGGATATACAATGAGGGAATAGAAGACTAAGGGTCTTTGAAAGAATTCCTTTATCACCATAAGTTTAAAATAGAACAGTGGCTGAAAACACATTAAATCTCTTCCCACATCCACTTATTTACTGGTAGGACAGAAATAGTCTAATACCAACCTGGTGGTCCATATAACAAACAGCCTTTTGGAGGTATTATTCCTACACGCTGGAACAATTCTGGGTTTGTAAGAGGCAGTTCTATCACCTAGAAAACAAGATGCATGTTTGTAAATGTCAGTAAAGATTTCGATGTATTTTCAATTATTTCAAGAAAAGAATCAATACAGTTAAGTACACAGATCATGAGTCAGAACAGTTCTTGAAGTTCACATTACCCAAAATCATTTCTATTAGAGTGGGGATTTTTTTTCCAAGCACTGTTTCTTTTAACTTTTAGTGGTTATTTTAATAAACTACATACTTGATTGAGGTGGTGGTTACAGAACTAATCTGCCAAAACACACCTAAATTATATACAATATGTTCATTTCACTATATAAACTGCATATCAAAGAAAAAAATCAAATTGGAAGACAATGATCAGTTATATGAAGGATATAAAAAAATCTATAGTTTTGCATTTGGGAATATACTGCAAAATAACTATAGAATATGATAATGAACTTGATTAATTACCACTAAAAAAAGGTTTTCAAAAATTTTCACATGCAAGCAGTTTACTATAGAAGCCTTAAAAGGACAGCATGTTCTATCCTCAACATCCTACAAAAATTTATTTCAGGGAAAAAACAGTGGATACTGGAAAGGCTGAAGGTCTGACTGCCCAACTTCTGAAATGATTTATAATACTAATAACCTTATATAAGCTTCTGTTCAATAGTTGTGCTTATATGATTAGGACAAACCAAAATATGAGAACCAATGTTTGGAAGTATTCCATATGGAAAAGGGAACTCAAAGGAAGAAGCATTTGAATATTTTCTGCCCCTATGGTTAATGCAGCAAATCAATATAAAAGTAAAGTTTTTCAAATTCCATGAAGCAATTTCAGGAAACAATTTCTTGTTCTTCATTTAAATATAACATTCAAAAAATAGACTTTCAAATTAAACTTAAGCCAGTGCTTCCTCAAGTATGGTCGAAAACCAATCTGTTTTCAGTCGCATACTCTTGTGGCATATGTGGATTTTCCCAGCTTTGGCTGTAGTTAGAAATGGAAGCTTTGGACTGGGTGATAAAGTCCAAAACAAAGAGGGCCAAGAGATTCCTTGAGAAGAGAGAACCAAAACTCAGTGAAAAATAGTAAAAATACCATGTTAATCAATGGAGGAAATGAAAATGCAACAGTGACACAAGTACTTAGAGATGCATATGCACTGAAAAAATTATATGGTATGCTGCACAAAAGGAAACACATCTCAATGCCATTTGAAGATTAGGTATCACTGGAATTCTCAAAGAAATCAGATTGTTCTTTATTCATGTTTGGCTCTCATAATAAGATACAGTCAAATAATTTAGTATGTATGACTACCATGTGCTAGATATGACTGAATTGGGTATTGAGAAATTTGTCTCTCTCAAAGATATTAAGAACAGCAAATGTCCTGGGGGAACAAAATTTGCTGGTGATGATTATGCTGTAACCAAACACTACAGAAGACCAAGAAGTCTTTTTATTGATTTCTTCAGAGGTCCCAGAGTATCAAATATCCATCTGGCTGGTTTAGATTAAGCTCTGCACTTGACTGCACTGAATGAGAAGATTAATTTTAGAAGCTATAAACTGCTATTGAAGAAATCTGCTTGCAGAACACCAAGAACTGAAGTGGAAAAGATGGGACTCTCCTTGGATCTAGTTCTGAGGAGGACTCATCTAGTATTTGATGACCTTTCAAAGTTATCTAATGAAAAGGCCAAAAGCCCTTAAGCCAAAGAAGAAGAAACTTATCTCCCATGATACTTTTAGTACAACTTATGGAAGAATCCATATGTAGAAGCAAGACTTAAGCAAATTACAAACCAGGAAAATGAAAGGATTGAAGAAGTGACCAGCAGAAAATGAGGAAAATATATCAAAGAGAATTAAAAATGATTGATGCAACTTAATCAAGAACTATAATTTTTATTCATTTTGAGAGAATTAACAAGCATCAATTAATTCAATCAGACTTTCTTAGTAGATTATTTTTTAATATTTTTATTTTATTTTACTTTATTTTATTATTTTTGTGTGCGTGTACCGTCAAATCAGATCTGACTGGTACAGGAGGAGATTGCCCCTCCTTCCCCGGCAAAGCATCTGGTGGATTCGAACCATGCACCTCTGGGATTGTAGTTGCAGCTTCTTGCCAAGATTTTATTGCATATTTTTATAATGTGATGATTTGCCTAAAGTAAATGCCTGGGCAATTGTGCTGGTAACCCAAAGGTCACACCTCTCTGGCAGTTCAAATCCACCAGTTGCTCCAAGGGAGGAAGATGGGCAGTCCCCCTATGTAATTTACAGATTTGAAAACCCAGTGGAGGGACTAGCTATATGACTCACTTTCTGATTTGACAGCAACGAGTTTGAGTTCATATCATCACATATTATGAGCAATAGTGTATTTATTAAGTTTAAAGTACCTCTCCTATGTGAGCCTTTTCACCCCTTTGAGCTGCCATTTTCTGTATGATACTACCCAAAATGCGGTTAAATGGAGCTGGATCTCCAGAAAAAAACTGATGACTTTAGAGAATGCTGCAGTTAAAAATTAGATATGGTGGCAAGACACGGCACTTGCAATCCCAGAGGTACGCAGTTCAAATCCACCAGATGCTCTGCTGGAGAAGGAGAGGGCAATCTTCTCCTGTACCAGTCAGATCTGATTTGATGGTACACGTAAAAAAACAATACCAAAAAAAAAATTAGATATGGAAAGACATGGCAAGGAGAAAGGGCCCAAAGGAGCAATATACAGAGTCCATGTGAGCTGCCTTAAAAGCTAATCTTATCTCCCAACATTCATGTAACACTTGCTTTATTTTTTTTACACTTTCTACCAGGCAGAGACTTATTTGCAATTTTAAACTTGCTCTCTGAAAACATAGGTAGTAGAGAGGGATGTCCATTATCTGATCACTAACATATTATTATTGGCCCATAATTATTTGAAGAGATCCTGTTCCTAAGTGCTCTGAGGGAAAAGAAGTTTTGAATGAAATAAAATTGAGAAAGGAGAGACTGGGTGAGTTTAAAGCACAGAGTACTTTGGGGTATTGGGGCACTAAAGGTTTTATGCAGGTCCTGCGTATTTATAGACAGAACAAATCTAAACAAAAGCCAACATTGCTTATTTAGGAACTTTCCTGAACACTGGTCCTGAGCTTAAGAACATGAGAAGAGCTTCTATATCCTTGAGCTGGTGCTGCAAACTGGGTTCTCCCAGAGTAGAAGTTAGGTTCTTGGTTAATGAGTTCCTGGCAAAGAACCCCATTTATACACATGCAAGCCAGTTATGTTAGTAAAGCACATAGACTGCTAAAAAAAAATTTAAAAAAAAAATTTTTTTTAAAAAACAAAAAACGAAATCACACAGCAAAAAACTCCACCCAAACAATCCCTCCCAAAAAAACCAAACATACACCCCAATTTTTTTCATAATCATTTGAAATATTTTTTAAAAATACTAATTCCTATGTCTCACTCATAATCTAATGAATCAAAACCACTCAGAGGGTCTTGAGATGTATATTTTAAATGAATCTCAGAAAAATTATGAAGGCATGAAAATTACTGTCTATTGCTTACATCAGACAATGTAGTGTTCAGCTACCTCCATTCATTACTACATGCTTTTAGTCTAAAAAGCTAAGATGAAAGCAATAGAATGCTGTAAAGCACTTAAAAAAATTTTTTGAAGTCATCTATGAAGCAAGGTTAATTCAGGTTTCAATTTGTTCCCTAAAAGCTTAAGACTTAACTCACTTCTAACACCTGTATTTTTTCTACATGAGCAGCAAAAACCCATTTTCTCAAAATTAAACATACAAGGCAAATTTCTTTGCTCTAAGGGTGAGAGGCGAACAAAAGAGATGAGGACAAAACAGAGAAAATGTTACCACATACATTATTAAAGCAAATGTGTTCTGATCTTATTTTAATAATCAAAATCATTAAAAAGCATTAGATAGTAATTATTCTTTACCTTTTCCTTTCTTATAAAAGAAAAGCATACAGGCTTTCTTAAACACCAAATTAACCCCAAATTACTAAACACCAATAACTGGTGTAACTAAAAATTCAGTGCTATTCTTTTTCAACAAGATTAAATGCATAATATTTAGTAACCACACTTTAAGCAAATACCAATTTTCAGTCAATTTCTCACTTTAGGCACTCTAAAAACAGTACTACTTATTAAAATTAATATGATCCAAGAAGCTGGACTATATGAAGAAAAACACAGCGTCAAGACAGGAGACTCACTAACAACCTGCAATATGAAAGTTAACAAAATTTTGTTTACTAAAAGTGAAAAGAGCAAGCATTTACTGATAAAGATCAGACTATACAGACTTCAGTATGGATTACATGTCAACATAAAAAAAACAAAAATTCTTATAACTAGAACAAGCAACATCAAGACTGAAATTGTGCAACACCCCCATGATACATCTTCAAGGATATGAACATGTACGGCCAAGCACAATCAATAAGAGTGCATCTAAATTCCAAAATCAATCTCCATAATAGTCTATGTGTTTCCTACTGCCAAAGGGGCCCTTTAGAGTAGTGAGAGAAGATCTTCACCCTGAAATCCACAGCGTCCCTTTTCAGCAGGAAGTAGCTAAGAGAATACGCCATCCCTTTTTCCTTAAGACTCAGGGTGAAGTCTCTCTCAGGGAGGAGTGATAGGGAATGGCAAAGGACACACTGACAAAGAAGATTAATCAGAACTGGCTTTGACAAGCACTGTGGCAACTGGACAATTAAAACAGACATTCGGATGGCGGGGAAGAAGAACAAACTGGGGAGGAGGGTAGAGAGAATGGTGCAGCAATGAAGGAATGAAAACCCAAAATCCCTGTAAATGTTCATTAAAACTAATAAAATTTAATAAGAAAAAAAAAAGACTGAAATTGTCAAGGATTTCATTTCACTTGGATCCACAATTAATTCTATGGAAGCAACAGTCAAGAAATCAAACAAGTATTGTGTTGGGAAAGTCTGTTGCTGAAGGACTCTTTAAAGTGTTTAAAAGCAGTGTCATTTTGAGGACTAAGGTGCATATGAACCTAGCCATGCTATTTTCAAATGCCTCACACACTCATGGCTTGGCAATGAATGAGACTGAAGAAAGACGGATACTTTACCATTTTGAAGAAGTATATTAAATATACCACAGGCTGCCAGAGTAAGCAAATCTACACCATGGACTGCCAGAACAAACAAACCTATCTTAGAATAAGGGCCGCCAGAATGTTTGTTAGAAATGAGGATGGTGAGACATTGAATGTACGTTAGATATGTTATCAAATGGGACAAGTTTCTGGAGAAGAGCATTACGAATTGCAAAACAAAGGGTCAGAGAAAAAGAGAAAGGCCCTTAATGAGATGCACTGACAGAGCGGTTAAAACACATAGGAACAACTATGAGGATAGCACAGGATCAGGTAGTTTCATTCTGCTGAACCCAGGTCACTATGAGCCAGAATCAACTCAGTCACACCCTAACAATAACAAGTTCAGAAAGTACCAACCTCTCTTAATTCCCGGATCTGTTCTGATAGCCCTCCAATCTCAGAATAAGAAACATTTCCAGGGTCCTCATGAGACATATTGTAAACCAGTGGATCCACTTCTCTCGGCAAATATCTGGAACGATGATGTATGTAGGTTTCATTATAAAAGGATATTATTTCCTCTGAGTCTACTGATACATTATAAATGATTCACTTATGCAAAAACCTTATGAAGACATAGTTAACGAAAAATTAGTCAAAGGGAAAAAATTGAATATATTCAGTGATCTCAAGAGATTTTGTTTTCAATCCATAAAAAATGACACATAAACTAAACAAAATAAGAAACATACCTCATGATAGTTAGTGTAGTCATATCCAAAGCAACCCTTGTTCCTGGCTTTAGTTTACTTTTGTCAAGCTGTTTGTAAAAACAAAAGGTATTATTAACATTTAAAAAAAGAGAGAAAAATACTTAACAAATGCCCATTTATTAGAAGCCTAATAATCCTTTTTAATGGCTTGCCAATGAGTAGCCTACAACTCGATGGCACCTAACAACAATAAGAACGACAACATTGGCCTAGTGAACAGAAAGTTATCCTGCCAAGCCCAAGATGGGTGATTTTAATCTGCGGTCCTCAGGCCTAGTTCAAACTGTTTTTCTGTCAAACATTCTTCTAGGTGGTATAGCACTGGTCTGTGCATTGCTGTGCAGAAGTAACTCATGGTTGTGGTGATGCTAAACACTGTGACACTGATGTGCCAAATGTGATAATGGTTACTCAAGGTGGACAGTGTTTGGTGGAGCTTCCCAATTAAAACAATCTTGGAAGCAGGAGTGGCATCCACCTCTGAAATGGCTTGCCTCCGGAAACTCTATGAATAGTGCTCAGGCCTTCCATTTATAGGGTCATTATGAGTCATCTAGACTCAACAGCACCTAACAACAACACAACCTTAGAGAACAATTGATGCTAATGCAAAACACTATAAAAGTAATCTGCCCCTTAAGAATACCCTTTTGGGCAAACTGAAGAGTAAGATGTGAAATAACTGATATACAAAGTTTGAGGTGGTAATGGTCTTGGTTTTGAAGAAATCGACTTTCAAAGGTTCACTATGTAACATAGTTGTGCTCACCATTCTGCTTCAGGCATTGTAAAGTACTGACTTTGGAGACTGATACATAAATCCCTTCGCAAAAAATTTTGGAGAAAGGAAAGGGAGGGACTTTAAAGATATACCCATTATAATTTTTTTTTAAATGGTTGACTTCTGAGAAGAACGTGTGATTATAAGCAATTGTATACTCTTTTACCCATTAAGAGATTCTTATTAAAATGTTTAGGGGAGGAAAAATCACGACAAAAAAATTTATCATTTATTTACTTTGCTGTTCTTCCATAAAGCTAAAGAGCATGCCAAGCACTGTAGTAAGCACACTTTTTTAGAATGTTTTATACTAAACAATCTACTGGCTCACATCAGCCAAAAATTTTTTTTAGTAAGAACTGGATAAATTCTATCCATTAGCTTCACCTCATACTTAGCAGTTTTCAAATATTCTACTGCTCTCATACAACCAGAAATATCTTAGAAATGTCAATTTTCAAATGGCATCCAATGGCATATAAATCCTGTTAGAACATATATCTAATATTTTGACTTAGGAAATATCACATTACTTATATTTAAATGCAAAATCCAGGGAGCTCTGGTGGCCTAGTGGCAAGAAGCTGCACTGCAATCCCAGAGGAACACGGTTCGAATCCACCAGATGCTCTGCCGGAGAAGGAGGCG